CTAGTTCTGAGGAAACGGTTTTGGTTTACCAGGAAGCTCACCGTGCTTCGTTGGAAAACGCCACAGAATGTTTGAAGGCTTCATGGCATCATTTGACAAAGTTTCTAACATAAAGCACACAGAGTAGCAGTGCTGGCACCAAACTGGAATAACACCAAAACGACAACATGCATGCACAGATGTCACTATATAAATGCTGTGATTATGAATCTGCATCCTGATGCCTGAGGCAAGTCCGTAAGTCCCAGCACTTGTACGTTTCGTCATTTACCCCTCCATTTGTCCCCCTGCAGACTCTCATGACGCAGAGAGCCAGTTCAGGGAAAACCCACTGTTAGTACAGAACAGTATTTTCTCTTTACACTTTTCTTTCTGAGTTGCTTCTGCAAGATCACAGTTACACATTGCATAGCATATGCAGTCTTACAGCTGGTAAATGCATTTGAGACCTGGTCAGTATAGGTCTCTATAGGTCTCACTACATTCCTGAAGTTTAGTTCTAATGTTGCCTATATTATCACTAGCATGCTTCAGTGATAGAGCAGTTTGGGGTAGTGGTTAAGCATCAGGCTAAAAACTGGGAGACCATGAGTTCTAGTCCCACCTTGAGCACAAAGCCAGCTGGGTGACCTCGGGCCAGTCATTCTCTCTGAGCCCCAGGAAGCAGGCAATGGGCAACCACTTCTGAAATCATGCCAAGAAAACTGCAGGGACTAGTCCAGGCAGTCGCCAGGAGTCATCACTGACTTGCAGGGATAAAAAAAGAAAACAAAAGAAGAGCGTCAATGAAACACATCACAGATTAATTTTGTGAATCAGTAACAACAACCCAGCGTGATAAGTGACAGCAAAAATAAACTCAAGAAACAAAAAACCCTCACATAAATGGGAAGCTGTAGAAACAGCAATTGACTTACCACTTTATTGAAAGCCGGTAGGCTGAGAATGGGAGACATATTGCAATAGCCTACCCCCCTTGCTGTTTCATGGGCTCCAGATAGCAACAAGCAAAACGTCTGACAGAGCCACTAATCTGCAAACTCTATATAGAGTGATCTCGTTATGGAAACTGAAGTCATATGACATCATCCTGGAGGAGCTCTGTGACATCAGAGGATTGGCCTGTAAAACATAGACCACCTCAGTGTCAGCAAGCAGCCATTAGACAGCTGATTATAGTGAATGCAGGGAGGCTGGAGGGATTTTGTTCTAGAAACTTAAAAGCACTCTGACCATGAGATGGACCTCTGTAGAACTCAGTTTGAGAATCTTAGAACTTTAGAAATAGCTCTTACTAATCCTGGACTCCTTTATTTCATCTTGTCATTATGAGTCAGTTGCAGCTTGTCCCAAAGACAACAAATGTCCCAAGGGTATAGTGTAGACTTTCCATAAGGGATATATTTAGTGTCAACAGTGCTATTCAGCTTGGAGGATCTATTTATTTAATTGTTGCATACTTTTGCTAACTGTGGATGTCAAATTTTTCTAACTAATCACTTTTTTCAATATAACGTTAGTTATTCTACTCATCACTCTGTATTTCTTGGTCCACCACTGCCAATTAATAATTTATTTTAAATGACTGCACCTATTACTTTAAGTCATGCTAAATCACAAGATGTAAAAAAAATAACTCTGGCTCCAAATATTGGTTTTACAGAATAGTGGTTTATTGAATCAATCACTGCTATTTAAAAATATGTGTGAACCAATCTTGAGTAAGCCAACCTACTTAAAAAGTCAAATTCCAATGTTTTAGATGGTTAGAACTGAATCAAGAACACACAGGTCTATTTTCAGTCACCATGATGGGAAAAATATGTTATTTAGCAATATAGTACATTTAACAAAGATTTCTGTTGCATGACTAACTTCTTTTTAAATTAAATGGCAAGCATTCTTAAACTAGAATTTACTAGCACAGCTGAATTCCCAAAGGTAATAAAGCAATCTATAATGTTTTATTATGGAATGCACAATAACTTTCCAGAAATGGACAGCATCAGGTCGACAATAAACTCAAGCATATACATAGGATAATTACAGATTGTTCTTGTTTGTATCTGTGAATAGATTGAGAATAAGGACACAACCATAACACCTCTAAAATTAAGGACTTTTAAGTCCCATTGATTTCAACAGAAAAATTAAATGCATACATAATCCTTTCCCTTGAAACAAAACAGTTCTAAAATAACAATCTTAATTTTGGGAAGATAAAATACATAAACATAATAGAGCTTATTCCAAATAAATGTGCATAGAACTGAGATGCTTAATTTGGGCTGGTAATGCTCCCAATATTTTTTTCTCTTATGCAGCCTTTTTGCTAGCTGCAGTCACTAAGACATCCATTGACCCTTTAAGGCACAATCTAACTGTTAATGAGGTCAATGAAAAAATATATATTTGACTTGTGGAAATGAGAACAGCCTTTGTCAGTGAATTTAGCCCTCTTTCCTGAGTTCTGTGAGCTACCCTCAGCACTGATTAGTTTAATCCTTGCCTCATAAAATATTTTTAAAGAACATTTTCTTTCTTTTTGCTTTGAAATATGCATCCTTGCATTTAAGAACAAGGATGAAACTATTTGCTCCTAGGATTCTCTGCTGTGCATAATTCTTGTTTGTTTGTTTGTTTATTTATATTTCAGATTTGTCACCACCCATCTCACTACAGAGTGACTCTGGGCAATTTACAGTAAAATATTAATTAAAATAAAATAAATATTAATTAGTTAATATACACTACTACAACAAGATCCCTATATAATACTTCCAGCAGACTGATGTTAATTAGGTGTTAATAAACTTGGGGAGCAAGTTATTATTATAAATATATCTTTTAATAGTAAAACCTTAGGGTTTTACTCATTCTACTGAAAATATAACCAATTTAAACTGAATTAAACTACAACTGATAACATAAAGTCTGTTTTTACAACTACCCAAGAAGCTTCATTGTAACATTCTTTGGGTGATGCGACTACCAAAATACAATTTCCTAAAACTAAAAGACATTTCCCTTTGAAATGCTCTCTTTCGAAAAATGATATTTTTACAGCATAATTTTTCTTTTTCCTTTTTCAACTCAATGCAATTCATAAACCAAATTATAACCCCCTCTATTCCTCCTTCTCTTTCGCAGAGGCCTTCAATCATCTCTCGATCTTCCTCCTATTGCCTGACCTACTTTGATCACATCAGTACAGCCCAACAGCCACACCTTTTTCTCATGCTTTTGTAAATTTATTTTGGACTGTTGAGCAGCAAGTTGGCTGTAAATAATTTAAGGGCTGGTTTTTTGAAATACAATATTTCTAAGTAAAATTTCTCTGCCAAGATTCAAAGATTAGGCTGTCAATTTTTATTTTATTTTCAAACCTACATTTGACTCCAAATTAATATTTTGATTTCTAGATCAATGCCCACCTCAACTATCTGCTTTAGCATAGATATTGCAGCCCTCCTGAGATAGTGTTAGAGTAATGGCAGTTGTACAATGCCTGGAAAGACAAGGGTTCAAATTATAAGTAACCCATGACATTCACTCATCCTGTCCACGTGACATGCTTCACTGGCTCATGAGAGAAAAAGATATGTGAGGTCCAAAGCTGTGTTAATTGACATAGCCAATTAACCCAGAACAGTTTAGATTTAGCTACAAAGAGAATCAAAGAGGCTCTTGTTTAATGGTAACTTTATGTTATGTAAAATACTCACTGGAGAGTTAACTCCTCCATTTAACATCCATAACTGAGACAATGTCCTTAAACAGATTTCACAAAAATGGGACTTCTCTAGTCACTTCATGCCAGTAGTCATCTCAGTTTTGGCTCCCCAGCTTTCCTAGCTGCACATGATGTGAAGGTGACCTTTCAAAACTTGCTCATTGAATCTCTGTGCCCTATTGTGCTACGGGGGCCAAAAGAGTAGAAACCGGAAAGTTAATATCAACTTCTCAGTCCTCCTGAACAATGTGGAGAACTAGAAAAATGGTTGCCACATGACTGAGCAAGTCATTCAAAGTTGTGTTCCACTCTCAGGCAAAGGCGAGCTAATTGACTAGGAAGAGTGATGTCAGCTGGGATGGATGGATGGATGGATATACATACATACATACATACATACATACATACATACATACATACATACATATATCCCCTCTCACACCTATGGGTGGTATGTGTCTTCCTCAATCTCGAGTCCTC